TGGAGAGCAATGTGCACATGTTAGTGGGAGGATACACGATAAGGAATGCTTGGAGTCCTGCTCTGGAAGGGAAATGCTGCCTACTGTTTATGGAGGTGGTTAAATGCGTGTGACCATGCACACAAGCAGAGCCAGGAGGTATTCCTCCGGGGACCCAGGTTCTACTTGTTACAGAGCCAGGATCTCATCTCAACAATGAGGGAAATTATCTCATCTGTCATATTGTAGATATAATATCTGTACTGCAGGATGGCTCGACCCTAAGTGCTGAGGCTGGGCTCAGTAATAAGAGTGGAAAAAGACAGCAGTGAGTAGAAGAACCTGACTCCTCTGTGCCTCCTGATAGGTTAAATGGTATTCTGTATGGAGTTTCTTTGCCTCCCTGAAACCATGGCTCTGAGTAGTTTGAAACGTGTACGTGGGGCTGTTTACATTACCAATTATTTCTTTATAATATAGTGGGAGGGCCTCACAGTCCTGTACAGTTAGAGACAGCAGCAGGGATTTTGTTACAAAGATCTGTTGATGCTGAAGGGGCCATGGAGAGGACTTGTCAGAGAGAGGGATGGCAGGCTGCAGCTACCAAACTGCCAACCAGAGGTCCTGGCCCGGTGGGCCAGGTAAGTTTTCTCCAGCTTCCAGAAAAATAACCTCTTTGGGAGCTACTGAGAAGGTCTGCTGGGCTCCCTTTCCCTCATAAACAATAAATCTTTTTGCTCCCAAACCCTGCCCTCAGCCTTTCCTATCAACACAAACATATCCTCTACATGATTCCATGCTGTAGAAGGGAACAGAAAGGCATTCCTTCCTTGCCTTGCCGTGCCTTGCCATGCCTTGCCTTGCCTCACTTTGTCTTTTCACAGGTTTGTGTTTATAAAGAAATATACACTTGGCACCACTCTTAAATGCAAGGAAATACAAGGTATAAAACAGTGATGATAACTTCAGGCTGCTCTGTAAACTCATACACAATGTAAACACTGCGCACACTTAATCTGCAAACCTAAATCGGATTATTTTGCATAATTTCTCAACCAGATTTTTTTATGATTGGCAAATGACTACTATGTCTTTTACTGTCAATAGCCAAATTGTCTTTTACTACAATTGAAGAGCACATCCCTTCATTTTAGGGTTTGCATTTAACAGATATCACTCCTAAGCAAATTTAATCTTATTTAAGTTTTTGTTTACGCAGTGTATAAATCATCACACTAAACCATCATGAATGCTGGAGAGTAAATTGTGTTAGTCCTTTTCAACTCTCATCTGACTTTTGGTCACTCAGCTCTCTGTACAGGAGTATTTCCCATGCCCGAGGAGATTCAAGGAATAGCATTTTTGTTGTAAGACAACCTGACAGGTACCTAACGGGGAATTGCCCTCTCTGAAACTAAACTGTGAAAGAGAGAATGAATTTATGCTGGAAGGGATCTTTGGAGGTCATCTGGCCTGTGCCTCTGCTCAGAGCAGGCCAACTTTGAAGACAGATCCAACTTGACACAAGCTTCACATGTGCTGCTTCAAGGGGCAGGGATATGAGTTGGTACATTGAGACTCCTAAGGGCTAGAAACTGAAGCTTTACGCTATTGGAAAAAAAAAAAATCCAGTTTGGGGATATATTTGTGATCCTCCTTCTTTGAACAGTTTTCACAAAGGAAAATTGAGCTATATTTTTGTGTTAAATGAAAATTTTAAACAACAAAAAATAATGCTGGCTGACACAATCCAACTACTTCTCCCTATTGCTGGAAGTTTGCAAACATGGTTTGTAATATCAGTACACTACTGTGCTGGTAAATACTATTTTAATCGAGTTGTAGAGTTCTTTATATATCACTAATTTTCGTCACATTCTAATTTTCATAAACCTCATTCTCGTTGTGGAAGGAGAGAGCAATTGAGCAGACCGAGGCACATGGTTGTTAAAAAAATGCTTTTTAAAACACTTCTAAGTAGTACCAAAATAATGGTCATAACATATTTCATATCACATCATATTTCCCCTAAAACTGTACTCTGTGTAGGTTCAGTCTAAGTTTAGGAAGACCATTTTCCTGATGAGTGGTAAAACTTGCATATAAATAACTTGATCATCACAAACTGTTGTTGATATAAAACCTCCTCCTAAAGTATATCAGATGTCATCACATGCTCCCTGTGAAAACAGACGGCCCTCGTGGCTGTAGCTGCTGACTATAAAGCTAGCTGATACCTTTCTAGATGAAAGGTGCTTGACTGTGTATTAATACAGCCATATTCAAATGGTCTGAGCTCCTTCCAAACCTTTGAGCCTCTGGTTTTCTATAGGATTGGTGCCTCTGGGGTGCCAAGAACCAGCCAAGGGGAAACACAGAGCACAGGGACTTAACCAGGATTACACCAGAGTACCTCCCTAAGGTACTACTGTTTGCCTCTGCCTTTTCCATTTTCCCCTTTCCACGCAGCAGTGCTGCTGGAGACCTGCTGTGACAGTTCCAGGCCACATCCTTGTGGCAAAGAAACCTGTGGAACTTTTACACCCACAGAAAAAGAAAAACAGTAATAATTTACAAAACTTTAAAAGTACATTTAAACCTTAGAGAAAGCAGTGGGATCAGCCGAGCTCTCTCCCATCATTTTAGAGATTAGCCTCTAAGCCGTCTGAATGGTCTGTGGTAATCTTTTACAAGGTATTTCATAAGCAAACAACCCCACAGGCTATACTGCAACTTCACACGGAGCTGCAGATTTGGAGAGAGCTTCTTGGGACACACAGCATTCAATTTTCCCAATACAGTGCGCAGACTTAGACCCAAATGGACTCAGATTTAATCCTGGGTTTCTCATCAAACCTCTGAAACTTGACCTACCACTTAAGCTGCTCCCAAGCCACCTCTCTCCAATTAAGGAGAGCTGGACTGTAAAATGTCACATCCTGTACCCATTTGGCTTAGCAGGTTTAATGAGCCATTGTGGTAGAAATAAGGTAATTCCCTCAAGCTGCTGAAGATTAATCCATTATTCCTTTTTACCCCCCCGGGGAAATCATTCAAGTAGCAAACTCACACCATCAGTTGCACAAATCTGCTCTCTCCTTGAAGGGTTTCTGCAGACAATTTTTCTGACAGTTTTATGTCTCTCATCACTTGGGTTAGCTGCACTCCAGCAGCTGTAGGGTGGTGCTCTTCTCCTCTCCCCCACCCCTCATGATAAATAACCTTTTCATAGGCAGATGCAGTTACTAATAGGTCAGAACTTTCCTTCTCAGTAGCCTGAAATGGAAGAGCTGCAGGTAGGGTGAAGGCTGAGTGCCAACCTTCTCCTTCCCACCCTCTTCTGCAAGTGGGTATATGTGGTCTGGGTGGGAAAGAATAACATCGCTTCTCATGGCTGCATCCCTTCAGTGCAAAGTTTTAGAGACAGGTTTGGAGATGTTGACATAAACATTCCTGGTTCCTTCCTCCTCCAGGCTGTGGCCTCTAATAAACAGAAATGTTGGGAGGAGATCTAAATCTTCTTCTCTGACATTTCACTGCTCCTCTTTAAATAGAAAGTAAAATGTCACGATGGTTTCTAGAGATGGACCCTGGAAACAGTGGACAAACATTTCTTGTACACTTTCCCACTGTTTTGGCATTGTGATATTAAACTCCCATTTAATATCCTCTTCCCATCCAAACTACTGTCATTCCGTAAGGTTATATCTACTTGTCAGAGAAGGGGAATTTAATTTCATTTGAGCTTCCAGTACTTTCAGAGTTTCGCCTACCAAATCTCTGCGTCTTCTGGGCAGGAGTCATGCACTAGAGTAACACCATCCTGTAGGACCTCAGCTCAAGGTTTTCTCAGATGAGGGCTGAGAAACCACTCAAACAGAGCTCAGGTTTGAGCTAACAGTCAGTGAAACAATGCAGGGTTTCTTTCAGTGCTCTGCTGTTCATTTCCTTTTGTACTTCACCCAGTTCTGCCGCTCAGATTTTATAAAGATGTTAAAATACTGCATTAGTTGCAAATGTAATATGGCATAAACAATGGACTCAGCATGCTATTTGAGGGAAGTGTAGAATGGCAATTAGACTACTGGTCACAAGAAATTTTTTTAAGAAGGAAAAATGATACCATAGGCACACTAATGCTGACACGTTTTGAGGTTGAAATTGTTCTGAGCTGAACATATTTCTGGAATAATTGTCTAGGTACAGACATCTCCAGAGCAGTGACTAGTGCACAGCAGAGATAAGCTTCTGCTCAGACAAGACAAGAAAAGGTGGAAATTAATTCATGTTGGTGTAGAATTTCATAAGTTGCCTATCAGGAGAAAATGCTTAAGACAGATCTGGATCATATGTCAGAGAAAAGAAAACACTTATTAAAAAGATTGCACAAAATACTACCTAGACTTCAAGAAAAAACAGGATGATAATGCCAGTGTTTCTGCTAAAGGTGAAATATATGCATAATAAGTAGATTAATGTGAGGGACATTCTTTCTTGAATAGCTATAAACATAAGAGCAAGAGGATTTTTCAGGATAATGGATTTGCTTTAAATATTGTTCCAGTACTATCAGACTCCATACTGAAATGTGATTTTCTCAAAAAAGAGAACTAAAGTGATCCTGCTTTTAATGTGATATGAAAGAAGGATGGCCAATGGGAAAACTTCAGGAAGAAGGTACACTGCCCACCTCTGCACTGGAGTGCCTAGAGAGGACAATTTACATGGAGCATAACAGAACTGTCTGCCAGGAGCTGGGACTATACAGAGTGCACGACTGGGAGTGTTTTATTGTTGCCCACAGGTAGCAGGTTATCCTGCTATCCCTTTTCTTAGGTGGTAAAAAAAATTAAGATGCAAACAACAGTCTTTGCTACCTACACCAGGCCCCGAGGAGTCACCTCAGGATCTGGGCTGTATAAAGTAGTGTGCTTCTGGTGTTGGAGAGGAGTCTAAGGAGCCTCTTCAGCTTCTTTATTGACCATTTGCTTCCCTATTTCCACTTTTCTTTTACTAGGAGAATGTTTCCAGCCATGAGAGTGAAAATTACAGGCTTGGATCCCCACCAGCAGTATTATATTGCCATGGACATTGTGCCTGTGGATAACAAGAGATACAGGTAAGTTTCTTAGGTGCAGAGGAAGGAATGTTGTGATAAGTTGGTGTCAGCGAAAGCCTAGGAAAGACACATGCCATTATATACATCATTGCAAAGGTATGCTGGAGGAGGCCACGGTGATTTACACCAACATAGTTGATTTGATGAGAATTGTGAGACACAAACCCAAGGGCTTAATATACTCTCTTGCACTTTTGGATTGAAATCTTGCTTTTTACAAATAGCAGTTTTTAATCGGGAAAATCCCTAGCTTGTATTTCATAATTGGCATAATTGACAATGACTGTCTGAGGGAACTGATAACTGGACTTAATAATGGGAAGTCTGGATCCTCTAAAACTGCTTCAGCAAGAAAGGAATGGTCAAGTGGCAGCTAAGGTCAGGCCAGAATTGAATTGAGTGATTTTTTTTTAAAAGCATTCACTCTCCAGCACAGCAGCCACAGGGGATATGGGCCCTGACCTAGCGTACAGAGACATTGAGAAACCCCCTGGTGAATCTTCACCACTGAGCTGAAAGACACAAAGAAAGATTTATCTGGTATTAATGGGGTTCCAAACCTAAAAAGTACTCTGTTAAACTCAAGGTCCTCTGCATCCCAGAAAACTATCCAGACAGAAGTGATTTATATATACTCATTAAAAGACCTCTGAGAGCAAGTCTTTATCCCAAATACCCTTGATCGCACCACATTTCAAGGATTCAAGAATTGATCCTCCACTTCAAATGCTAAGTATTAAATTTTTGCTCTCAGATTGTGCAGAGTGTTTCTCTGGAAAATGGAGACTCAGTGAAGGGCAGCACAGGGCAGAACTCAGAGGTGTTAGCTAGACTGTGAAATGCCTTAGGCTGAAGGAGTCACAGGACAGAGAGAAGAAATGAGTGTCTAGGCTAAGTTGTGGTAGAGAAATTTATGGCATGTAAAGGATGGCTAGATCAGCAACAGAAAAAAATCACAGAAGACCAAGAACACAAGAATTATTTTTACCTCTAATTCCAACATTTGTCATACTATATGGAATTTTCTATTTCACAACATTTAATCCAGAGTTCTATAAATTCTTACAGTGGCATCCATTGGATTTTGCCTTTTCTGGATGAAGAGATGTGTTTTGCACAGTCTGGCATGGCAGCTAGTGCAGATTTCTAGAAATTAGAGGGCATTTATTAATATTTTCAGAGGGGGCTTTTTTTACCCATATTTTCTAGCCTCTTACTCTGGCTCAGAGAGGGTTAACAAGTTGAGAAGGCACATGTGGCAGAGTTTTACAGGGAAAATAACTGCAAAGGTGGTTTTAATAAGGAATCAAGTCTGAACAAGTGGCTCAGGCTGAATCTGGCTTTCATTTAGAAGGTAGGAGGTTGCAATAAAGCACATTCTCCCTTGACTGCAAATGAGAGCTTGGGGTGCATGCGGTAGGGTGGCAGGGGAGGGGGAAGCTCTGGAAATGTTCCTCCGGTGAGTGACAACTTCCTTCAGCCACCTCCCCTTCCTCTTTCAGGTATGTGTACCACAGCTCCAAGTGGATGGTGGCTGGCAATGCTGACTCCCCAGTGCCCCCGAGGGTTTACATCCACCCTGACTCGCTGGCTTCTGGAGACACCTGGATGAGGCAGGTGGTCAGTTTTGACAAGCTCAAGCTGACCAACAACGAGCTTGATGATCAAGGCCATGTAAGTTAGAAGCTAATCCTGGTGCCTGCTGCCCCAGCCTCACTCCTCTCAGCTCCCAAAAGGGTGATGCTGCTGCTCTGGTTCTCCTGTGTCCTGCTGGGCACATATGCCTGTAGCCACTCTCCAGAGTTATGGAGCTTTATCCCCTATTTCAGTGCTTTTCTTCAAAATGTTGTCTGACCCTATAAAGTAATAAAACCCCTTCCTCCCTGTACACAGCACAAACTTCATCTTGTACATACTTATTAGATATGGGTAATTTTCCTCATATCAGCCCTTACTTCATCCCTGCTTCCTTGTACATCTGGATGTAGTGTAGAATATTTGGAAAAAAAAAATTATTTTCCTTCTCTATTTGTTCTCCCTTTAGATAATCTTGCATTCAATGCATAAGTACCAGCCCCGTGTTCATGTCATCCGCAAAGATTTCAGCAGTGATCTTTCTCCTACAAAGCCAGTTCCTTCAGGAGATGGGGTGAAAACCTTCAACTTTCCTGAGACTGTCTTCACCACAGTGACAGCCTACCAAAATCAACAGGTGTGTGCCTTCAGGCTCCTTTTATGTCGAGTGTTCACAAAAATGCCCGTGTGTTCTTTGTGTCTGAGCTATTAACTTCTCTAAGAAACATAGTTCAAGAAAAGTGTATGCTTTACAGGCTCACTGTTGGTTTTTATTCTGCACAAAGAGAAATTGTTTTCTATGGGGTAGTGTGTAGACATGAGGTATCTAGCCAGAAAACCATCTTGCAGATAAGGTGCCTGCAGTTTTTACTGTAAAGTAAGTAGGTGAGATCAACCATAAAGACATGTAGTGTGTTCATTTTTGTTGCAGCCTTGTGGTACAAACTACAGTGTCCTGTCCCCACTGTAATTTTAAGGCAGTACAACTAGTCCAGATCTGTTATCATAGAATCATAGAATGGTTTGGGTTGGAAAGGACCTTAAAGACCATCCAGTTCCAACCCCCCTGTCAAGGGCAAGGACACCTTCCACTAGACCAGTTTATCTTGCAGAGAAAACACATAGGGGTTTTTTTTCACTGATAAAATGAGGGGAAAAATTTTAGAGAAAAGAAATCTCATCAGTTTGCTGACAAAATAAGCCTTTGAACATAAGCAACAGCAGTCCATGTACTGCATATGAACTAAAATTCTCATGCATAATTCACGTTTGATTCAGATCTTGAACAACTCCCCGTTACTATTGCCTCCAGATATCATAAGGAAAAGATGTTCCCACAGTGGGAACCTATCTGCAGAAGCCTTGACTACTAAGCTTTGCTACTGATCTGCCCTTTTTCTTAAACTAGACTTCATCACGCTGAGAAATGTAGTCTTAGTCCACACTAATGTTTGATTACAAAATTCCCTGTCTATCCCTATTTTCCCCAATGATATGATATCTTTTAGAGGAAATTAATTGCTGGGAGAAGGTGATCATTTGAGACACCAGCAAAGAAAGGAGTTTTGGAAAGGGCTCACTCTGGATTCCACACATTTGCTCCCCCTTCAGTGGCCAGTGAAAGCTGGTGTCCTAGTCCTCAAGGAAGAGGTGGTCTGCTTCATCGTGCCTGCAGGCATGCTTATCGCACACACTGCGTGCTCCTTATAACCACCCATTCCCTTTGTAGCCTCTTTATGTATTGCTCATCCACCAGAATCCCCAGGGATCCCCATGAGTTCCCACACCACCCCTGCCGCGCTTTGGTCTCAGTGTGCTCCTCTTCTCTTGTTCATGTACACATACTCCCCATTTCATTCTCAGGTGAGAGGTGCGGACCACATCCCATTTTCCTTTTCTGCTGTTCTTCTCCTTACTGGGGTGAGGGTTATGATGGCATTAAAAGGGCTGTGTAATGTAATTTTTCCCAGCCATGTGAAAAACAATTTGAGTTGGTGAAGTTTTCATTGTGCTAATAATGTGTCTACTTAGACAGGTACTCTTTTAAGTTAGAGTGAGGGTACAAGCTGGCTTGGAAGAAAAATAATCTGTTACCAGGCCTGTTAGGAAAATAGATTATACAATTTTCAGCCATAAATTATAGAAGAGTCTTGAACTGGAAATGGTAAGGTAAATATTTCTCCATGACAACTTCTGTGCTTCTGGAGAATGACTTCATGAACTCACTGAACGTCATTATATTTAGTATCCTTGGACTGAGGGGCAGACCCTCAGTTTAGGACAAAGTGTCATATTTAGCCAATTTGTAACAACTGTGAATTGTAACGATTTAGTGAATTATTACAGTTGCAACATACAAGAGACCACACAGCTGACAGTGATCCCATGACTGATTCTGGATACCCATTCCTAACTTTTTCTCAGTGTGATCCCCTTGGATTGACTTAGATCAGGATCCAAAATGGATCAACTATTCCAGCAGAAAAAATATTGCAACACAACGGTGAGTTTGCTCTCATTGCAGCATTTGGAATTTCCTGCAGCCCTTGCACAAATTCATGTACTCTTCAAACTTTTAACTGT